TTTGGTTCGGACCTTGGTGCGGACTTTTAGGTGTGAAAACGTTCTGAAATTGTTCTGTCTAAACAGTGATAAGACTGGTGCTTATTGGTTCACCTCATCCATTGTGTAAAGCAGAGTCCATAACCTTAAGTGTGGATGGGTCTGCTTTGAAATTCCAAACTAAACAAAAAATGTGGGTGTGATATTTGACGCTAATTTAACATTTGAACATTTGACATCATGTTCGTAACACAGTCAAAATATCTTTTTTTCATCTCAGAAACATTGCCAAATTACGCTCTGTTGACTTTCTCTGTGGCTCGAGGTTAATTAACACTTTTGTTTGTTCAAGTATTGATTATTGTAATGCTTTGCTGGCTGGAGTTTCTAAAGCTACCCTAAGTAAATTACAGTTGGTACAAAATTCAGCTGCTACAGACCTACTAGGATTAGTGCAAGGGAGCACATCACACTTATCCTGGAAAAAAATCACTGACTTCCTGTTAGTTTTCGTATTGATTTTAAAATTCTCATGCTCACTTATAAGGCCTTGAATAATTTGGTCCTTCAATATTTGTGTGAGCTCTTAACCCCCTACACTCCTACACGTGCTTTACGATCTTCTGAAGCTGGTATTTTAACTGTCCAAACAACATGGCTAAAAACTATGGGTGATCTGGCTTTTTATTCTTTGGCTCCTAAATTGTGGAATTCCCTGCCCTTTGAGATTAGGAATGCAAGAATCCCTTCAAGTTTTTAAACTGTCCCTTAAAACTTACCTTTTAGGGTGGCTTTTGTGATTCGTGTGATTACTCTGTATATTGGCTTTTTTTATTTTTATAGCTTGTTTAGTTTTTACTGCCTTGACTGTTATGTGTATCCTTTTAATTCATTATTTTATGTAAAGTGCTTTCAGATGCTACTTTTAAAGGCACTATATAAAATAAAGTTTATTATCATTATTATATTAGCTCTAAGCGTATTTGTATTTTTATGTATAAATAGTATATATTTTTTTGGCCTTAACAATTGCTAAATCGGTACAGATTTCAATCGGATATCCACACAAATCGAATTTGGACTGACAATCTTAAAGGAACATGTCGACTTCTTGGGACTTAAGCTTATTCACTGTATCTTCCAGAGTTAGATAAGTCCATACCTTTTTTTTTATCTCTATGCGTGCAGTAACTGTATCTGATGCATCGCTAGCTTAAACCACACTCTAGCTTAGTTCAAAGACTAGATTTAAATGGCTCCAGCTAGCATACTGTACTAATCCCAATGAGTGTCAAAATAATGCAAACATTTTCCTATTTACATGTTGTGATTTTTTTTTTTTAGTCACAGAGTGTACAAATAACAAGATCAAATGAGACACAGCCGTCTTTTGACCGTTTAAATATTGGGAACTATATTCTCAGAAGGCGAAGCACTGCTACTTGGGCGGAGTGATTACCGCATCACCTGAGACGCACCGTGGTGAGGAGCAGAGAGTTTGTTCAGAGAAATAGCAATTACTAGACTCCTTGATCAGCACGAACGCCGAGCCAAGTGCGCTGGTTCGACTGCTCGAGACTGTTTTCCAAAGATGGCTCCTGCTTGTATTCGCGAAGTGGACTGTCTTTATAAAATATCTTCTTATTAAATGGTCTGTACACTTTCAAATTTCTCAATGCTTCGTTTTGCATTTAGGGACCCCTGATTATGCTACTGTGTTAGTGTGGGGCTATTTTGAGCCTTGTTAGTGGTATTAACTAGCAATTTTTATTTTCATTGCTCTATGCCCCATATACTAGCATTATAAGCTAAACAGTTTTAGAGCTAAAACTCGTTACTTTCGATAATCATGAAAACAAATCTCAGAGTACGGTTGACTATGTACCAATGTGTAATTAGACCAAAGGTTCATTTTGCGCCAGAGTTCTCCTTTAATCGTCTATCAACTCTTCAGAAAGGATATTTTCTGTGGTCACAGAAAAATAACTCATCCTTAGCATGCAGCTTTGAACTGTAAAATTGACATTGATTTATAAGCAGACAAGAAACAACTGGTAAGAATGTACACAAAAGTTTTGTTTAACTAAATCACGAACACAACTAATCTAAACAAATATACATGGGTAAATTGGAAAGTGCGTGTGGCGTAGAGAATGTCTTGATAATTTGTTCCGATGGTGCTGAATTTGCAATCGATTTCTTAAGTGTTAAATGAAGAAGCTATTGTGAACTTGTGGAGTTAGTTGACTCTGTTCTGGTTGAGTAATGTACACATCAGGCATGCATACCACTATATACAATATAAAAAGACAATATACAAACAGTAATAATACACAAAATGTACTGGGCATTTTGTGAGAGATTTTTCAATGAATAAGTGAAGATAATTCCATTTCTACACTCTAAAAAATGCTGGGATGTTTTAACCATTAACTGTCACCGTCCCACAGGTGGGACACTTGCCATTATATTTTTAAAACAATAATATCTTAGAAAAGACCTTAAGTAATATTGACAAACTATATATCATTTGAAAGCTTACAATCTCTAGTTTCCATATTTGGTGACTGATTTTCAAAATAATTTACACACGAGCCGTAATTTATCAATTTGCAACAAGAATATTTTCATACTCATAAAGCGTGTTTAGACCTTTATTTTGAAATAGCAATGAACATGAAAAATCATGAAAAAAAGTTAGAAACCTCAGTTTGATTTCATGCCAAGAGTTCAAAAGATAGCATCCATTCAATTATTTTAGAAAAAAAGGTCTGAAAATGTTTTAAATATTACGGAAAAAAAAAAAATAGATTCACCATTTGTGTTATGGCAATAAGCTATAACGCGCATGCGTGTTCTTTGTATGTGATTCCTAGAGGTTGAATTCATATCAAAATCTGCCAAACTACCCATACTACTTCTGAATAGGATTTCTACTTCATAAATTGTGTGAAATTTGTGAAAATAATGCTTCAGATCACTCAAAACACACATGGAAATGGAGACGCCCTTATATGGGCAGTAATGGAGTCTGGTTGTGCCCTAGTGAAAAAGTTTGGTACTGCGCCCAAACAAAATCTCACTGAAAGCTCATTTTTTGAGATATCAACCTAAAATTTGAAACACAACTTGTTCAGATTTTTGGCCTTGATTTTTCTGCAGTTTTAGAGTAGCCCAGGTTTTGAAAATATATATTTTATATAAAATATGAATAATTAATTTTTTTACATTGTACATTTCTATAAACTCAGACTTCTATAACTTTTTTTCTGTTTCTCTTTCCTAATTTATTTCACTTCGAGAAAAATCTGCCAAATGTCTTCTTTAAAACGAGACCAATCTTAAGTCTATATTCCAAAGCATTCTTGAATTACAACCATTTAAGTTTGAAATGAGCATTTCCATGTCTATTCAAAAAAGGGGGGGTGACAGTTAAGAGGTTAACCCAATTTTGGGTAAAATATGGACAAACCCAAACTTTGGGTTAAAAATGTCATTTAAAATGTTAACCCAATGCACTACTAGCACAACTACTTCCGCGTTCTGCTTATTACATACCGGGAGTTTCCGGTTAGAGTGCTCATTGCACGTCCATACATGAGAATGCAGATTATCACTACGTTTTATGGATGCCAATTGATTAAAACAATGAATAACGATCTCTGTATTAATTATCTTGAGCCTGTTGAAATGTTCCTATAAATATATTTTCTTTCTAACCGTTCGATTCTGAATAATAAATAGGCTAAATATATTTATCCACTAACCTGCAGCAGTCTTCTGTCTTCTCATTAACAACAGTATTAGCCTGTATACTTGTATTCTATTCTTGAATTTACATTTTTTTAATGAATTTGACTAATAAAAAGTGTGCATTGGTGCTTTATTCCTGTCTTTTTAAAATAGTTGAATGAATGAATGAATGAATGAATGAATGATCGCGAGGTGCCAACCAAATAATGGCGTATTTTTAACAGCCGCAGCTTTCTCGTATTGGCTTGGTTTGGATTTAAACTTAATGTTCCGATGAGTTTTGAAAATTCTGCACACGGTAAACATCAGAATATCCCTTCTTCTGTCAAAAAAAATGTCCAAAATATAAAATCTTATTACAGACACTCATTTTAGGTGGTGTTTGTTCAACTCATTGCCCGCAGTACATTGAAAGTAAACGTAACCAGAAATAAGTGATATATATTGTTTCGAAACGGAAGTGCGTCGCGATGCTCAGTGCAAGTAGTCCATTACTGGGTTTGTCGATATTTGATCCAAATATAGGTTGAAATAATCCAGCATTGTTAGAGTGTATGGGACTGCATGTCTGTTTCTTGTAGCCTGTACTGTTCTCTCATTAAGAACAATCAATGTCCCAAGTGTGTTTGAAGTGTATGAGTGGAGCAAAAGGGTGATAATTCTCAGTGGGGAAATCAGAGAGTCTGCCTAGGGGGGAGGGGTGTGAAGATTAAATGGAGCAATGGTTTGTTTGATCAGTCCAATTGTTACAAGGTATACAGGATAAATTAATAATGCATATACTTCAAATCATGGTGTGCAATTACATTTAAATTACAACTGGATGTACGATTTTGACCTGCTGGATGAAAATATATTTAATTTTAAGGAGGGACCAAAGCCATATATTGAGAGCTGGGGTTGGGCTCATTGACTTAAAATTATAGAAACATCCTTGAACAACCTTTATATTATCACCGAATATAAACGGTCTTAATCGCCCATCTCTAAACTCCTCAATGTGGACAATTAAACTTTAAGGTATTATAAAAATGATCATCACTAGTTTCTGTAAAGCTGTTTTGAAACGATTTGTATTGAGAAGTTCTGTGCAGGCCTGGTTACAGAACCAAATCACTGAGGGTGCTCTAGTAAGTACAGATATAGGCTAAAACAACGGCTCCACGATAGCAGTGTATAGTAGGACATTCATTTACACCCATAATTGGAATAGAATTTCAAAAATACTTTGCTATATATTTTGTTTGAATTTTCTCTCTCTCTTACAGTTGACGGATGCATAGACTGGTCAGTGGACTTGAAGACGTATCGTGTGTTGGCCGGAGAGCCTCTGAGGGTGAAATGCGCTCTGTTCTACAGCTACATACGCACCAACTATAGCGTGGCCCAGAATGCCAAGCTGCGGCTCATCTGGTACAGGAACAAGGGTGATTCTGAGGAGCCAATCATCTTCTCGGGTCATCGGCTGAGCAAGGAGGGAGATTCCATTTGGTTCCGCTCAGCAGAGATGGAGGACAATGGATTTTACACTTGTGTGCTCAGGTGGGTCATTAGCAATTCAAGCTTCAAATGAAGTGCTCGCTGAAAAAACCTAAACCAAAAAAAAACAAAAACAAAAAAAAAAAACAGAGCCCTAAAACTGCACTGGGTCATATCTTTTTATGTAGGCTGGGGCCACACTTTTTCAAACGATTTTTTAAAATCTTATAAGAATTTTCTAATGTGAGCGACCACAAACATTACGATGCGAAATCATAGATTTAACCGTTTTGTTGCATAATGTGTGGAGTGATATGTGACTAGGAAAAGCACAACACACACTAACAGATTCCATTCACAAACAACAGAGTCGTGAAAATGGGAAATCTCGTGTGGATGACAGGCAAGAAGAAATGGCGCTTATAGTGTATGGACTGCTTTTAACAGAAAACTCACGGGAGAAAAAAGAAAAATGTTGGTGAAGTGGTCGAGACAGTGTGAACTTGGACATTACAGCAGTGGGCGAGTCTTCTGTCAGCCACACAATAGAGGAATGTTGAATATTCATGTTAAATATTTACGATTCGAGATCGGGGCGGCTCTGATGTTCTTCCTAGCAGATTCAGTCACTCTTAAAGGGGACATATGCAAAATCCACTTTTTTAGCACTTAAATGCATTTTGTTGTTTTGGAGTGTTTATAAGTTCAGAAAAGATGAAATTATTCTCTTCAGGTGCTTCGTTTATATCTTTATATTCTGTTTTGGTCATATTTTTCAACCTATTCAGATTTTTTTGTTCTTTATTACGTTTTTTGAACAATTACGTCACAGTATTTGCAGCGGAACTGATACATGAGGACATTGACTACTGGCCCAACACTTCGAGCAATCCGCCATTATTATTTCTCGCTACAATTTTGTAGTCCAAGCCCAATGACGCAGAAGTTACGAGAGGGCAAGTCAAAATGTTCGGTTGTTGGATGTAGTGACCTGAAGCACTTCAAGGACCCCCACTTCAACAACCTCCGCCAGTATAAAGAAGGGTTTGTCGATTGTCTGAATTAGGGGCAACGTTAAAGGGATAGTTCACTTTGAAATTAATTTTGGGCATCCAAGATGTAGGTGTCTTTGTTTTCATAGTATTTTCAATTTTGACATTTTTCAGTCAAACCGTTGTTGTCTATCAGTCATACACTGGAGGCAAAGGGGATCCACCAAAAAGCATGCACAGGATGTCAAAATTAAACAATTTAATGACTCGTAAATGTAAGTACACATTGATGGCCTAAGACACGAAACGAGCGTTTTTTGTGAGAAAACGAACAGTATTTATATCGTTTTTACCTCGTGTAATCCAAGTGATCTGAATCAGTTGTTCAATGTCCAACTGAACCGAACTGAATCAATGTTACGCCGGAAGTGATCGCTTGCGTGTGACGTCACTCAATATTTACGCGGAGATTTCGGAAGTTTTACCTTTTACTAAACATATTTAGATATACCGAAATCGTCTTCCATTGTGGTTTCCCGTATATCTAAATATGTTTAGTGAAAGGTAAAACTTCCGAAATCTCTGTATAAACAAAGAGTGACGTAGGCGCGCAAACAATCACATCAAGCGCATACGCAGACCGAAGCGCCCGTGCCGTCCGATCATTTTGTCATGGCTATGATTACAAGAGGTAAAACGATATAAATACTGTTCGTTTTCTCACACAAACCGCTTGTTTCGTGTCTTAGGGCATCAATGTGTACTTACATGTACGAGTCATTAAATCATGTTTAATTTTGACTTCTCTGTGCATGCTCTTTGAGGTGAACCGATTGAGGACCCCCTTCACCTCCAATGTATGACTGACAGACAACAACGGTTTGACCAAAAAATGTCAAAATTGAAAATGCTGTGGAAACAAAGACACCTACGTCTTGGATTCCCTTGAGGCAAGCTAAAACATATCAAAAATTAATTTCAAAGTGAACTATCCCTTTAAATTCCTTCTATCATTTAGCTGCTGTTTTTTCTGATGCTTTTCTAAACGCAAGTTATCATATTATTATCAATACAGATTTTTTTAGTGGTAAGATTAGACCGTAGTCATTTATCTTGTCAGTGTGCTTGTTTTAACAAGAGAAATAGTCGACTTTCACTAAAAACACAAAATAGTTAACTTACTACTGCATCCATATTAAGACGTTGTTCTGCAGGTTCGTCGTCGTCTTTTTCAAATTGCTTGCTCTGGCTCGAATATGTAAGGCTTGAAGGACAAGTCTTCCGTTGTTGACATTTTGTTAACGTGTGAATAAAAATGTTCTTTGAAGCTATAGTAATCATATATCTCTTATGAAACTACAATAATGGCCGAACGGGGGGAGTTGAACCAACCGTGAACTCGGTGACCTGTAGAGCGGGCGGGGAAAGACGCAACTTCTTTTTATTTAAAGGGGCCGCATTTAAACGACTTGCTCACAGACGCACATCAGAAAAGGGGTAGAAAAGGGGCCTGTGGAGCTATAATAATGAGGAATTCAGACCCAAGCATTGCAGTTATGCTTTATATAGACCACAAATGTATGATTTATAAGTAAAAATGAATGATCTAAAAGCATGATATGTACCCTTTAAAGGAGTAGTTCACTTTTGAAAAAAAACCTTTGCTGATAATTTACACACCCCCATGTCATCCAAGATGTCTATGCCATTCTTTCTTCAGTTGAAAAGAAATTTAGGTTTTTGATGAAAACATTCCAGGATTTTTCTCCATATAATGCACTTCAGTGGGAACCAAACGGTTCAAGGTCCAAATGACAGTTTCAGTGCAGCTTCAAAGGGCTTTAAAAGACACCAGACGAGGAATAAGGGTCTTATCAAGCGAAACGATCGCTCATTTAATAAATAAATGGCAAAGTTTTAAGTTTTATAAGCTCAAAGAGTCGCCTTGCTCTGTTCTATGACGCACGTTCGTGACTCTCCTGTTCGAACTCCTTCATCAAAATGAACAAATCTTTTTCTGAATTATTTGGCTCATTCAACGAACGAAATGAACAAATTGACTTGGAAAAAGATTCGTTTTTTCAGGAGAGTCACAAATGTGCATCACAGTACAGAGCAAGGCGAGCATTTGCGCTTATAAAACTTAAACTTTGTTTTTTTTATTTTTTTTTTTTAAATGAGTGATCGTTTCGCTTGATAAGACCCTTATTCATCGTCTGGAATCGTTTAAAGTCCTTTGAACAGTTTGCAATTTGTATTGAAAGTGTCTTTTGGACCATGAACCGTGTGGTTCCCACTGAATTGTTGAATGAATGTTTTCATCAAAAAACTTAATTTCTTTTCAACTGAAGAAAGAAAGACATGGACATCTTGGATGACATGGGAGTAAATTATCAGCAAAAGTTTTTTGAAAAGTGAACTACACCTTTAACACAACTTACACCACAAGAAAATGTTAGCACATTTTGCCCATGATGTCTGTTTTCTTACAGATATGACGTGTCTATAATCTTTCTTATCGAGCTGACTGCATGAAAATTCATAATTAGTGATAGTGTCTATACTGGACGTGGCGCAGCGTGATTCATTGATGGTAGACAAATGCCGGTTCTTCTTCTGAAGTAGCGGCTACTACACACAACTACACTGAGGACAAATACTTTGCACATTTGCTTTGTCCAGTGTAGACAGCCTCACACGGGGTAGAAACGATGCAAGAAATGACAAAAACTAATCATTTTGTCTTTTAAAGCACAAATGTGGTGACAAATAGCTATAGGACATACATATTATTTAGAATACTAAATATCAGCCCAAATGACCAGCATGGAGATGTAGCAGCGTGTACTGGGGTTTTGAGTGGATAATGCAATACTGAAAAATACATCTTTGCATTTATTTTGAATGCTGTAAGTAACCATAAGATATTATTAAGTCTGATTCATATGAAATGTTCATATGAAATCGCTTGTCTGCTTTCACTTTTAAATGCATGATTCATGTTTAATGCTTTATAGATCATTAGATCCACAGACCTGCTGAATATGTAAAACTTGAAGACGTGGGAAAAGCTGTTGTGACAGGAATTTCACCTTTATTACACAAACCCATGTATTAATGACAAGGTTGAATCCAGTTATTCATTAGTCAGCAACTTATTGATGCTTTTCTGTTTTATCATGAATAACGCAACACGTTGTTCCTAACAGAGATGTAAACACTTTTTCTCTGGCATTTTCAAAGGCTCATAAAAATGTGTCTTGGTTTTATACACAGCTAATGGTCTAACAACTCTAACGAAATCCAAATTTTAAACATATTTTACTGGAGCAATTTTATGGGCCTTAGCCTTACCCTTCTTATTTGAGCCAAAATGCAGATGAATGAGCAAAGTTATTTCAGGGCAAGACCACCCTGATTGTAAAGCCTAACTTTATTGGTTGTAGCAAGAACGTGCTATCTGCTATGATTGGTCGGCTCAATGTGCCCGTTGTCTGAATGGCTTGAGGAAACAGTGGGTTAAGTCCGCTTTTTGTGGATTTGTCTGCATGTCGATGCTAGAAGTGTTTCAAAATCCATAGGTGCGTGAGGGGATTTACAAATGCACAAGAAGCAATTCACAAAAGCGCGCAGTGATTTAGAAATGTACAGAACGATTGACAAATAAATGCCTGGCAGAGTTGTGTTTGTGTCATAAAACACATTTGATATATATATATTTTTATTTGCAAATCTCATTTAATTTTATTTGTGAGCTTAAACCATATTCTGTAATTGTTATATAATGTGTTTTAACTTTACTGTGAGAATGGCACATTGTTTGACTTCATATTAGTATAAGGTTCGACTTCTTTAGGCATATTGTGAAACTGACGTCACTGCACAAACCCCCTGTCATAAAACATTTCCTCACAGAAATGTACGAAGCACCCACTGGCCCAATCATGAACCCATTGGCGTGGGAGAAAGTATTCACAGGAGATGTCTTTTTCTTGTGCTTAAGCGAAGGTTTCATTTCATTCTAGTTCTGGGGTTTATTCTGACACCAGTTTAAAATTATTATAAATTCAG